TTTGTTTTTGTAATGCCAACATCTAAACACAAGTATCAGTGTTTTCTTATTCTTATCCAAAGTTTCAGCGCCCAGTGTACATTTTCAAGAATCTATACGTTGATTGTTTCCAATACAAACTTTCATCAGTTTGGTCATAAATTTTCCTTTTAAATGGCCCGGACAAGAAGCCAAAATAAAACAGCAGCAAAACAAAACGACATTATTCACAGCAACAAAAAGCCAAGAGAGTTCGCCGACGAACCGCCGTCAGCCAAGGAAACTTTTTTTGGCGCGTTATCACATGAACTTGGCGCTGATTGGCTAGTTTGCATTGCCTGTTGTATTTTCTGACATTTGATTGGCTTAGACCAGCTGTCCTATTTTTCTTAAATTGGACAGTTTGCCTATTTGTAAAGGAAAGCCCTATCTGAAACTATCGAAATTAATCCTTAATTGGACAGTTCGTAAAAATTAAAGGATAATAGCTTTGCTGTCAACATCGATTAACTAAGATTTCAGCGATCGATCGGTAGTAAGGTACAATAGGTCGTACGATAAAGAGCCTCTTTTTATCTTTTCGGCAGTGTGACAAATAATCCCACCTTCATCTGCTGACATGGTGTTATTCCTTGCATCTTTTTCATGATTTCTGAAAGTCCACTTGTCTATCATTTCGTGTAGAAAAAAAAAGAAAGTACAAAAGAGATTATTGCTTAAGGAGTGTCTTAACGTCTGATATGCTTTCTGCTTTACCACCCACTGTCTTGGTCAATCTTAATATCAGAGCAAGAATGAATAGACCTACATCAGCCCGAGTGTGAGGTGTTTACTCACAATTTGTGCTTTGTCACGTGCAAACTTGATAAAGTACTATTGCTGGTTCTTGTTCTATAGGAAAATACAACAGCCCTCTATGGAAGCAAAAAGGAATGAATCTTTTCTTAGCCGGCTTGAGTATAAATGATTCTATTTATTCGCTCATGCAATTCACTGACAATTCACAACAGCAACATGATGACCCGCAAGCCTTGGATACGTGTACGACGGTCATCTGAATTGACCGATTGCGCAATATAGAACAAAGGAAGTGTTGACAACATAGTGCAGGACCGAAGGTCGGAAACCATGAGAAACCCCTGGAACTTATTACTCGCACGTCATCTTGCTAATTCATATGACATTTTATTCCGACAGGAGCAATTAACACAATCAAAATATGCTTTTGTCCCCAAACGATAACCGGAACCTCCGTAAATACATCTTCGATTCTATTTTAAAAATTTTCAAAGAGAGCAACTTCAGAACACTCGGCCACTTTACTTAAATTTATTTACATTGTGCGGGCCGCGCCGAAACGTTTCTTTGTAACTACCACGTAAAACCAAAGTTTCCAGGTGATTAAAAGCAAAAGGACGCGCGCGAGGAGAACGCGAGTCCACAAAAATATTGTTTTCGAAATGTAACCGCATTAGTAGAGATTCTCCGCGAACGGATCGGAACAGTATTGTTCTAAATAAATATCAAAAAGAAAAAGAAAAGCCTTCTTCCGAATAAACGGTTACGTACTGTGCTTTCCAGTTTCTAGGACGTACTAAAAGTGCCGGAAATGGGAATTTTGCCACGTGTGTTTTATTTGTAACGAGAAAACAAATCTTTTAATAATAAATGCCGAAAAATATAACTGGCGGAAGGTCTCCTACAAGAAAATCTTCCTATTAAAAAGCACTCTAAGACACACATATAGCTTTTGTAGCTTGTAAACCCCTTAATTTTCCAGTTTTTGCGCAAGTGATTTCATAATACCTTGGTGTCTAACTCACAGAATCACGGGCGCGCCACCTAGTGTTTCTGTTGCTTTAAAAACCGCACTTAGGAGTTTAGAACACCATGGCATTACAATAAAACTCGCTTACTCAAGCTAAAACATATTAACCTTTAAATTTCCACTTGGTACGCTAGTGATTTCATACTGCCATGGTGTCTAAACTCACAGAATCACGGGCGCGCCACTTAGTGTTTCTGTTGCTTTAAAAATCGCACTTAGGAGTTTAGAACACCATGGCATTACAATAAAACTCGCTTACTCAAGCTAAAACATATTAACCTTTAAATTTCCACTTGGTACGCAAGCGATTTCATAATGCCGTGGTGTCTAAACTCACAGAATCACGGGCGTGCCACCTAGTGTTTCTGTTGCTTTAAAAATCGCACTTAGGAGTTTGGAACACCATGGCATTACAATAAAACTCGCTTACTCAAGCTTAAACATATTAAACTTTAAATTTTCACTTCGTGCACAAGTGATTTCATAATGCCGTAGTGTGTAACTCACAGAATCACGGGCGCGCCATCTAGTGTTTCTGTTGCTTTAAAAATCGCACTTAGGAGTTTAGAACACCATGGCATTACAATAAAACTCGCTTACTCAAGCTAAAACATATTAACCTTTAAATTTCCACTTGGAGCGCAAGTGATTTCATAATGCCGTGGTGTCTACACTCACAGAATCACGGGCGCGCCACCTAGTGTTTCTGTTGCTTTAAAAATCGCACTTAGGAGTTTAGAACACCATGGCATTACAATAAAACTCGCTTACTCAAGCTTAAACATATTAAACTTTAAATTTTCACTTCGTGCACAAGTGATTTCATAATGCCGTAGTGTCTAACTCACAGAATCACGGGCGCGCCATCTAGTGTTTCTGTTGCTTTAAAAATCGCACTTAGGAGTTAAGAACACCATGGCATTACAATAAAACTCGCCGCACGCCCTGTCTTTTTTAAAAAAAATAGTCACCCTTGAAACATGTTAACAATGATTTCCACTCCCATACCTAATTTTCTAAAATCCTGCAATACCTAGCTTTTTCTTGACTGAATAAAGAGTTAAATAGCGGAAGAGGCGAGATTTGGTAATTTTTGGCGGGCTTTGGAGACGTTTTGGCGGGATGACGATTTCACTATTCGACCGAATCCATTTGATCGCTTATTGTCTCTGTGTTTTCTGCCTCTACTATGACATCTTCATCTACTAACAATAGTATTCCGCAACCCGTCGTCATTAAATAACGGAAATCTTTTATGTAGCCCGTTTGCACACGCTTTATGCTCATGCATAATAGTCACCAAACAAATACAGTCGGATTAGAAGATCTAACGTTTTCAACATCAAAATGCCTACCAGACTGCCGATGAATATTACCACTTACACGTTTGTCGTAATATCGTTAGGCTCAGAAACATTTTGAAGGCATAGGAAGACCGTCTTCTTCTCGTAATGTCATAAATCGAAAGACGCACACACCGTCTTTTACATTCATCTCAAGAATGCAATGTCGGCTTTACATGTATTCGATCAGAGGTCAAGTCATAATGTCACACTACTTCCATATAAAGAAAAAGTCAATTATTATTTCCATTGTTTTGGTTAAATTTTTAACTATAGTGCGGTGAATGTACAATGCCATAAAAATACGAACACAACACACCAGCGCGTGCGTGACACGCGATTCACTGCGGAAACTGCAGTTTTAGCAAGCTCACGCCAAAGAAATTCGTTGAATCTGCACACACAAAGCCTCGGAGATCAATGATTGCTATTTGCTTTGGCATCCATCTTTCCTTTACGATGAGTAGTATGCTGTGTGTTTAAGGAGTGCGGGTTTTACATAATAAAGATTTTGAATCAACGCTTTTATCTAGCAACATTCGCCCGATTCTATTTGAGTTCTGCGACCTTCAATACGTACATTCAATACAATATGGAACTACGCTACATTTTACTGAAAACTGGAAAAGACCAGAAAGACAACGCTTGAGTCGTAGGCCACGCGCGATTATTCTGGATAACTCGTGAGCTAAGAACGCAAATCTCTGGCTTATGTTAAATTGTAATCTCTTCTCAATTACTCTATCGCCAGATGCCGCCTTAATCTTGTTAAAAAATGTGACTCTTTATCGAATAACTGACCACTGATGATTGGACCAAACGGTAAAGAAACTAATTTCTTTTCGCGGTAGGAAGTTTATTGCTTGTCACTCAAACCCTAGCGTCCTTAACAACGCCAGCGTCCTGTGGTGTCAAAAAAAAGTCGTATGCGGGTCCTCATGTGCAATCAAAAATTCCTTCTAACCTGACAGCAAGATTCTTAATACGATCGCTTACTATATGTTTTCACAACTTAATACATGGGAGAAATTTCATGTCATAATCAACTATCCTCACTAATTTTTCTCCTTCCTGCCCCCATAAATTATACTACACTGCATAAGTTAACCACACCAGCAATTCGACCACGACGAGTTGGTCCTTAGGATTGGGTCAGCCTCTGCGCTTTTTCTGCAGGTCGAATTCGAATTTACAATTTTGTTTTGGAATAAAAGTATACGTCAAAATCCATTAGAAAATGCGTACAAAAATTTCAAAATTTTCATTGAAATTCTGCTCAACAAACTAACATTAATCTAAGGAATGATGATTTCTGGCATAAGCTCAACTGTTTATGTATCATTCCTATTGAGCAATATATCTACGCTGATGAAAATTTATATACTGGTAAGGAAAAAGCATTCCAAAATGAGTTTTGGTTTCCTAAATAAATACAAAAAAGAACAAACTAGTTTGTCCTCTTTCAAATATTATTCAAACATTTTGACTGCAATCATGACAGATGTCTAGATATAATCACTTAAAAGTAGAAACCATTTACTTTACAATTGCTTGTGACATGCACCTTAAATGAAGCTGATTTAAAGGGTGGATTATAATTTCTTTCTGTAAACCCAATGGTAAAGAACTGAATCCGAGGCAAAAGCAGGATAGTTTAAATATTGCCACACACGAGGCGTGATTTATTCACGTCCTGTTAATAACAATTCAGATAAACAGTTTACGATGTGTAAATAGTTGGCAATAAAAAGGGTGAATTGAAAGTAAAATATGTCAAGGCGTATTGCCGTATCAAGATAATGCCAGAGCAAAGTGCATTTAGAAAAATATATATTTTTTGTGATGAAAGGATGCTTACTTCTAAGGTGATCGTGGTCATTTTCGCTTTGATTGGAAACTTGGCAAGATGCTCGTGTTGGGATCGAGCCACAAACGCAAGATATTTCGATGGAGCAGTGTTTGTCCGTCACAAAAGTGCGCTGAAAACCGACATAATAAGAAAAATGAAAATTGTTAGTGAGATAAAATGCAGTCAAGCTTGTCTATCGGAAAACAGCTGCGTCGCACACACATACTGCCGAACACCAAGCAGCCCTGATAAGGGAACATGCTACCTGCATCAAAACGGAATTCCCGAAGACGAGGCCAGAGTTCTTGATAAAAAAGACGAATGCATCTATCAACAATATATTGGCTTTATCGTAAGTAACTTTTACGATCGCTTACTTCTTAAACAGTTTTACAGTATATCTGTTTTAAATTTTACTCCACTTTGGAAGGAAAAGTTCGGGTACTATCTTAAGAAACCATGACGCTATGATTTCGAAAACGTGTATAACAAGAATGGATATACTGTGGTAAGGAACAGAATACAAGAAATTGAAGCGGAACTGGCAAAGAAAATGTCGGACCAGATTACGACATTTTCAGTCCTTTTGCTGACATGTATTTTCATCAGTTATGAGATTTAAAAAAAAATAGCATGGCAGACGTTTTTTTTTTTTAATCGACAAGATCATGGACGTACAACAAGGAGAATTCTAAGCAGTGTTCCTCAACTTGAGAGAGCAATAAATGTTGCACGAAGGACAAGAGCTATTCTTCTTACGCACCCCGTGTCCAAGTTCCACTTTTAATGCCCATTTGTGTCCCTTTTTAGTTTTTCCATTTTATATTTCATTTATGGTCACTTGGTCAGTAAATGAAATTGCATAAACCTGGGAAACCAAACTATGGGCTCACCTACATGCATTTTAAATCAGTAAGCGACTGAGGCCGGGAAAGAGCTGAGAACTTTACAAGCAAAGAAACGTACGTCTCCGCGATGACCGTTGTTGACGTATCTCGGTTT